TGAACTTGGTTTCCAACCATTGAAAACTACACTCAATACTCAAAAAATGGGTCAAGGACCAGCTGGTTTAGTCTCGGTACCACCATAGGAAATTATGTAATCGCAAAATGAAGATAAAATTCAATGCTAACTGTGTACTGATTTTGCTGCGCGCGACATCTGTTTGTATTGAAATTAGTAATATTAAAAACAACGATTTTCTACTCTATATAACTCTAGTCAAACTATGAAGAAATTATCGATTTCAGATTGTCATTTGAACAAATAAATTGAACTCATAAAAACAAATTTTCTGGTGTTTTTAATTTTCTGTAAGAATTGTACATATTAAACAAGATCTGAACTTTTAGCACTTATCTCAGTTCAGTGCTTCCATACTGGCCTGGAGATGTGGCAAACATGCCATAGGAGCATTTCCAATTATCTATTTCAGGCTTTCATCAACAGCTAACTTTCCTCCATACTGAACGAACATTAGGTTGTTACGGAACAAAGAATATTCTTTTCGATAACCTAGTCTTCGTCATCAGGTTCTACGGGTATATCTCCAGCCATAATAGTGAATAAAGTAGTGTTAGTAACAGCAATAATCCTGTTTAAATAACATCAAATCAATAATAGTAATTGACAGAAGTTAGAATTCGTGAGCCATTGGATCGCATCTCAATGGGTTAATGGTATAGAAGCTCGCCTTGTAACCAGAAGGTCCTGGGTGTGAATCCCGGTGGGTGCGTACTGATGAAGAGTACCAAACTAGGACAAAACAACTGTTCAGTACTCCTAGCTGGTTTTCCGATGGTTCCCTACAAACCAACACTTGAATAGTAATATCAATGGATTGCAGTTCGATAGGATCACCATAACAATACACCGAATATCGGGAAAATTAGGAAAAGTAATAATAAAAATTCATGAATGTATAGTCTCTAGTGAAGGGCGGTCAAGGCAGTAGTAGTGGCTGGCTGGATTTGCTTCTTCTGTATACAGAGCGTCGATTGTTTAAAGCGAATCGCAATAGCCTCTTCTGTTTGGAGTATGCAGTACCTGGATGTTTTTGTCAGTTTATTTGGTACCCGGTAGATGTGATATAGAAGGATTCTTTAACTCTGGCTGGCTTTGTGACCGGTTTGGACTAGGTGGTTTAATATCGAACTGTTGGTGGCTTTCACTCTGGTAGATGTCCCCGAGCGAGCATAAAAAATCAAGTTCCTAGAGCAGTGGCCAATATAACTGGCTCCACCTGAAGCGCAGTTGAATTGATAGATACAATTAGAAGTGGCTGGCTAGTCTAGATACTTCATCTTTCAATTAAGGAATCAACACCGGTCTTGTAGAAAGTAAGACTTTCAATTTGCAAGCATTAAAAGTTCTTTAAACTAAATTTCTTAACGTATCTGTAATTATTTCGCTAGATATATCGTCCTTGAATTGCAGTCGTGTGTATGAAGGCTTATCATTTACGGATAGTGAATAGATGGCCGGTTAAAAAGAATAAGTGACAAGGCATTCTGTTAGCGAAGCAGCAAACAACTCACTACCCGGCGAATGTGCAGAAAGAAATGGAGAGGCACTGAATATAAGCCAAAGTGATCGGCTTTCGATTGACATGACATCTCCAGTCTTTGGAAGGGACCCTAGTAAAAGGCGAAAATTTACTCACATGTTCAAGACTGATATGGCAGAGATAAAATGTGTAGGGGAGATGGAAGCTTATTTGCACTAGAGAAGTCAGCTGGACGTAACTGTGGAAAGCAGAAAGGAATAGAAATGCACCACTGAAATTCTATGTAGCGCTATTCTCCTTATTACTATTATCGACTTGGGTCCTGGTTAGAAAATAGGATTTCAATACCACATCTCCTTTTCATCACCTTCCTTGCAATCCTTTCTATCTGGCTTCACAACTGTCCATAGACTCTCATCTTCTCCACCTTCTCACATGTTCTCCTCCATGTCATCCCCGGATCCACGCCAAACCTGTCGTTCGCGAATCGGGTTCCACTCGATAAATGGCCTGGAGCAAGCGAGATGTCCCTCAGTGGTCTTCTCATAGTCTGTCCATTCCACTTTTTCGTCGGTATGTTTGCTAAGTGCTTTAAAGTTTCTCTAGTGACTGAATTTATTTTCCGGGACGGGGTCGATAGCTCCACACCCAGTAAACCCTCTTTTACTGAACTTGGCAGCGGCTAGAGAACCAGTGAGCTAGTAAATTAGGTCAGCCACGCTGTCAAATAAAATCCGAATGGTATACAACGAGCTGAATGAGGTTGTGAGTGTGATCTGGGAGAGATCGTTGAAATGATATATTCCACTCGGAACCTAAGGGAATAATCAATAGAAAATGCCTTTATTTGTTTTACTTTGCTGACTGAGTTCAACTTTCGAATCAATGGAAACTGTAAAATACACTACGCTGTTGACGTGCATAACTTACTTGCAATATTTGAATTCTTTTAACGACCAAAAGTGAATTATGAGGCAAGAAAATCTGAGATAAGCACTCATTCAGTCTTCAGTCTACCGGCCCAATAAAAGCACAGTATTTGACTGCTTGCATTCTAAGTGGAATGTATGCCTTTAAGATCTGGAGTTTCAGTAGGGGTGTTGCTTTTTCTTTCAAATGACCGCCTCTTTTCTTGGCTTTCTACTGACTCGTAAGTCAGGATAGATTTAGAAACCCAAACTGGCAAATCCAAGCCGAACCTTCAGACATATCGCCAACAAGTATTCTGAAGGTGAATCATCGACTTAAAAATTGAATTAATCGCTTACTTCTTTTTCTTGTTCCAGTTTCATCTTACTTTTGGACTCTTCAGAGGTGTACGTCCACGACTTTATCAGGCATCAAATTTAGGACTTTTAGGTCATGAGTAGAGCTTGTTAGCTTTATTTGAATAATGTTATTGGTTTTTAGTGTGATTTTAGATGTATATCATTAGCGGAATGCCGGGAACCATAGATGACTGATTAGGTGTTTTATTGTATTATGAAACTGGCTACTAATTATAATAAGAACATTCCACTTCAGCGGTCAGTAAGGTACTCGATCAGTTAGGCTAAGGCAGCCTCTTAAGGGAGAATTGGCGTCATCTATTTCTTTTATTTATTTTAATTTATTTACTGACTTGTACGTCCTGGATCACCAAAAAACCGTAAACTACACTTTAACGCTGATTTACACTCACGGTTCTGTTATGAACCGTAAGCCAATTACAAGTAGGAACGATCTCAAAAGTTAGTTTGCAAGGATTTTACTTGTTTCAGTCAGGTTTGTTAGCGGACCATTGAAATCCACCAGGAAGTACTGGATAGCTGAATGGTTCTGGTTTGGAACTCCTCTTCAGCGTTAGCTACCAACGACCCCATCAGGAATCGAACTCAGTACTTTGAGATTGCGAAGTCAGCTCGTTGATCATTGGGCCACTGTGACTGGAATTTAATGACCCGCGAAATCGAACTTCGTTCTGTGTGCCTCTGAAGAGTTCCAAACTGAGGTGAAACAACCATCCAGTGCTCCCAGGGTTCCAATGATTTTACAACTGATATCAATGCGTGAATGCATCTGAAAGATATTTCACTAGTTATTCACAGCTGAAATTAGTGTCTTCTCCAAGGAACAGTCTTATACTTTCGTCACCATAAGAAGCAATTTCTATGCATTCCATGCGTTCCAGCTGCATCTTACGACTTCGATTTTTGGAGTGTAATTAGTGGAAGGGTTGTTCCTTACATAGAATGGAATTACTAACCACACAACTAAACTTCAATTGCTTTCCTATCCAGTAAACTAGACTAGATTTTTAAAGATCCATCGGTCTTGAATCAAAGTCAGACTTTCCGTCACATTTTTCCATAGAATCATCGACGTACTCTCAGAAGCGCATGTTTATTTCTATCTAATGTTCTAGTCCTCTCAACCAAATTCAAATTGTGCGGGTAAAAAATGGCCTAAAGAAGAAGAGATCAACTTTCATTGAATGAATATGTCTCTTTGTTTGAATGATATTTCTCTTTGTCAGTATTTTTATTGTAATATCATATTGTAAGGATGGAGAATTTATAAAGCCATACATTACAAAAGTTTTAAATAAATTAAAATAAAATAAAAAGGCGGGGTAAAGAGTCACTTCAAACTATCCACAAAGTATATTTTGTTCGACCATATGGAAGTCTTTCAATTTAACTGAGTAGGATCTATGGATGACGTGTTTTTGTAAAGGTTTTAAATAAAGTAAGTTACCTGTTATTTTACAATTTACAAAGTTCAAGGGGTTCATAAATAGCATACATTTAACTTGAAGTCAATTGATTTTTACAAATAGAGTGAAAAATCGAAAAATAAGAGAATAAGGCCACTTACAACCGGTTATAATAAATCCATTGAAAAAAAGAAGATTTACATTAGAAGAAATCATGGTTAAAAGTGATGTTGTAAGTATACAATAATTTATTCACTGGAAGACGACACTTGGATCCAAATTTTATGCATTTTTATTTTATACTACTATTTAATAAATGAGTAGCTAAAGTATCTGCTGAAAATATTTTGCAGAAATGAGCATAACGATGAAGTATAAAAACTAGAGGGAACAATGAAGGCAGTGAAATGCTTTTTATCAAAGTTTAATAAATAATCATCAATATCCAAGGCATATAGCCTGTGTGACTTGTTTTCCGTTATTTTTTAGCGAGAAAAAGGCACAACGGGAGTGTTTACAAAGAGGAAAGCACGAAGAACTGTATCAGATAAGGCCACTTAGATAAAATGTAGAAAATTTATTACATTTCTGAAGATTTCTGCTAAAGAGAGTAGTTAGTTTATTTGTGTAGCTATCAAATGTTGTATATCTTTTAGGGTTCTGCTGGGAGCGCCACATTTGCAATCTTAAATTTATTCTTACCCTATTTTACAGTGAGACAATAGTGTTCGGTGATAAAATAATACTGCAGTTTGTTCCAGCTTCGTGTGACACATCTTGTGCCTTCAGTTTTAGAGTAGGTCATTCCAAACTTGAAGTAGGACAGGAAGAAGAAGCAAAGTGGGGAGCGAGGGGAACATCCAACCGGGTTATATCTGAAAAATTCAACAAGAAAACTGCCCTTTAGTTGAGGAGTATAAATGTACCAAACAAATTTATCTATCTATCTATCTATCTATCTATCTATATATATATATATAATTATATATATATATATATATATATATATATATATTGTGGTATGCCATTAGTGAAACACATCCTGAAGGCTTTTCAGGTTTTCACTTAACGTGATTTGACACTAATAAGTGCTCATGAAGCCTGTAGCATTGAGGGGACTAAAATTGAAACTAAGTCTAGTGCAAAATACCTCGGACTAGTTCTATCTTCCGACCTTATATGGTCATCTCATATCCTAACGATTTCTAAGAAAGTGTTCCGTCTAGCCTACTACATTAAGGAACTTAGACTGTCTGGAATCACCCAATCTCTACTTCCACAATTTGTCAACTCTCGTATCTTACCTATTCTACTTTACTGCTTCCCATTAGTCTTTTCTGGGCTACTGAAAAAGGACTATACCATGCTGAGAAGAATGTTGAACGTAGTTAGTAGGACAAGTAGTGGTGTAAAACTCAGTCAGGTCGTCACTACATTAGTAGATAGGCATCTGAATACACGCGAAAAATGGTCTAAAACCATACTCTCCGACCTCTCAGCACCCCCTCTATTCCCAGCTCTCTCCCTGTATCTCATCAGTTAGAACCAGAAATCAGTACAAAATAATATATGCTCGTACAACCAAGTATAGGAACTCAACGATACCATATTTGGCCAGCCTGTGTTCTAAGTGACAGAGACAATGTTAAGCGCGAAACTTATGACTTGCTTTGTTGTTAATAACATTATTTTGGCCCTTGTTATTTCCCCCATATACTCTCTTATTTGTGCTCTATAGTAAACAACCTTCGTAAACATACTTAGCTACTTAATATTATTATCATTGGCTTACTTTTTTGTACTTTACTCTATTCCTTCTTTTGTATATCTACTGGGTCCGACTATATTATCACTATGATTATTACAAAATTGTCCTGTCATTAACCATCATGTAATATTAATTTTTGTGGTTGTTCTTTGTTCGGCACTATTTAACTGACAATCTTGTTTGTGAACGCCACTATCACCATCTTAAAAATTTTGTATTATGCAGGATTACTCACACTACCACTACAAAATCGCATTAGAGCTGACGATAAAAAAACCTGAAATGTTTATTTTATGATTGTTTAGTGTTGTTCAATCAAATTAACTGATCATCTTGGCTATAAACATTTCTTAATATCAATTCATAGCCTCTAGTATGATTATAGCTGTTACTGTTCACCACGCATACACATATCATAGCTTCCACTACCCAATACTGAGATATTATTTATTATTGTTGTTTATTTTCCCTCCTATTTTTTGGTCTTTTTTGCATTTTTTTTGTTATCATTGTGTTTTTTTGGTTTTGTTGTTGTTTTTTTAAATATTTATTTTTTGAAATACTCCTCTTAAATGTTTGATAAAATTAGATGCAATATTGTAGATAAGTGCTGAAAATTCCACACTGTACCACTAGTACCGTTTCTGGAATAAAGCAAATTATTATTATTATATATTTTAAAAATATGGTGGAAATTCCCATTCACATATTTAGAACACAAAAGAAAGTCCGAGTAAACAATGTCCCTTTCGATAAATTTCCCGATAAACTACCTAATATTACCTCTTCTGTGTGCATCTGTCAATTCGACCGCTCTTGTAGATCCAGTTAACTAAGGCGTACAGTTAGGCATGTTAGTTATCGGTCATGCAAGGGATAAATATGGTCTGTTTACAGCCCTATTCTATTTCTTCTCTTGAATACAAGGCATAAAATCGATTTTAACAAGGCTTGAAAAGTTATCTATCGTATTCCAACTGGTCTTAAATTCCCCTTAAGAGTTTATCTGTTACATATTGCTGGGGTCATTAAAATCCACATTAAAAGCTTAACTTATGCACCTAAAAGTAATTCATTCAAAGGCTTTCCTGACAACGGCCATCAGCATTTTAACTGAAAGGTGTCAGACACTTTATTCAGTCGGTAGGACTATTTTACTTTATACAAATGAGTCTCTTAGATGGTTAGCAGCAATCTGCAGGAACACCCCCCCCACTTCATCCAGGTTTCGTGCTTGATAATACCCACCATCTAGCAAGTTTTATCTTGAAGGAACTTATGTTCCTTCTAAGAATTGAACCCTTGTCACTCATTGCTACACTTAGAGACCAGATACATAACACCAGTTACTACCTTGTGTGTAATTAAAGTATACAATACAGTCCTATAGGAGGTCATTGGTGAGAACGAGTACCTCTGTAGTACTGTCTTTGACTGCAGCATTCAGGGGATACAGGTTCGAATCTTAGACGATGGGAACACAACTTCCTTCAAGATTTCAGAGACGTGCCTTGCTGACCGGTGAATGCCAACAAACTCGAAGCCTAGGTCAGGGCTTCCTGTTGATTGTCTACAACCGTCAAATATCAACAATTCACAGTGCATGTTGATGAGGAGCCACCTAGTGGCATGGTGGCCACATTACAAACTTGACTGACAGAATTCAGTGTGTGTCAACACCAAGGACTGGACACATTACACTAATCACTAACTAGTGTTCAGTCTACGTCAGAATGGCACTATGGAAGGTCTATATTGCACCCCGCGATTTCGTCACGAACCAGCATCAATTGAAGAGACTATTAAAACTCAAGTTGTTGAATTCCAGCCAAAGTGCCTGCTCAATGGTCAACAAACTTGGTCTTGTAACCTGAAGGTCCCAGGTTCAATCCTTGATGGGGATCCCACTGCCCAAACAAGGAAGAAACAGCTATCCAGTGCTCCCTAGTCTCCAGTAATCTCGCTAAAGGATGTTCATTCACGGAGAAATCTAAACAGTGAAATCAAATTAGTCCAAATCCCAGCATATCCCGTAGTCTCCACATATATATATATATATCAGTTAGAGAACCACTGGAAAACCTGGGAGTACTGGATAGCTGTTTGATCCTAGTTTGGGACTCTGTATCTGGAAGCACCCACCGGGGTTCGAACCCAGGAACGTCCAGTTACAAGGCGAGCTCGTAGACCACGATGAAATCCTCCATGTAATCAATCAAAATCCCTACAAAACTAATACTTGAAAAATATATATTTACCTGTTTCTTTGTCCTTGTACTGAAGATTAGTCATACTTGAACACTATTTTGTCTTGTAGTCACAGGTAAATGACTCTCTGAAGGTATACACAACTTTATTGATTGATTAAAAGGCTGACTGATACAAGGGATATCAGGCACACAACCATTTAACATCATAGAAGTATAATCAACTTTTGAAGTTAGATTACTTGATCCTGTCGTGATAGCAGCAGTAGCCGCTGCGGCTGATGCCATTGCTGCAGCCCATATAGGAAGTAAACCGGGTAACAGACCATTCTCTGCACATTCTATAGGCTGTGAAAGGTTACCGAGAGGAGGAATTTTTAAATTATCAGCCGACGAGTTGTTGTTATTGTTGCTATTGCTGATGATGGCGGTGTTCTGATCGCTAGGCAGGATAACAGGAAAGTTTTCTGGATTCAAGCCCAATGGAAGAAGTGCAACAACAGGATCCAATTTTGCGGCATTATGTGAATTTGGCTGTATTTCAGCGGTTTTATTACTGATTCGACTGTCTGTTTCTGGCAGATTCATTTTACCTGAAGGCGCATCATCACTTAGAACATTTCTCATTGCAAGATTTGGGATGCTGTGATGTTTAGCTGAGGCGGATTGATTAGATTTCAAATTCTCTGTATGCTTCTTAGCATGTTGTTGCATTGTACTAGCACGAACAAATGTATAGTCACAATTCGGGTATATACAATGAAAATGTTTATGCACCTTATTATTATGACATATAGGTCGACGACAATCAATACTTGTGTCAAAGTATTCAAAACCTTGTTCAATACTTGTATACTGATGAAATTCTCGTCGATGCGTATTCATCACATCTAGGCTATCACTAGCTGTATAACATCTTGGTTTAACACAATGATAATGTTCTTTACGTGTTGTAAAATAGGGACAATTACTATCGGGACAAATTTCACCGGTGAGAAATAATTTAACACCCAGCTGAATATGCCTGAACTGATCACAGTCACTGACAATTCCAGCGTTTGTCTGGTACTGATCAACACTGTCGGGTTTGTTGCCCTCCGGTTGGCTGAAAAACATAGAGTAGGATAAATCTTTGGTGTAGTCATCAGTAGTTCTTAAGCTCTCCGGTGGATTGAGATGAGGCACATGGATGTATTTAGCATATTTCGGCGGTCGACCTCTACGTCTTGGATTTACAAAGTTGTACGATGTACTCAAGGCTACATTACATATGGATTCATTTTGTATACACGTTGGATAGTTTAGTTTTGAGGTGAAATGTTCATCGTGTAGGAGGAGGTGTTCATATAACACTTGAAAATTTGAATAACCTGAAGGGTTGGTAAAGCTGCATTTTGGCCAAAAACGACAATGAATATGATTAGGCACAGATTTCATTGGACAATTGGGTCGATCACATTCTACATAGGCAAAGAATGAAAGACAAGCTTCCCATAAATGGGATAACCAATATTTACACAGAGATTTCGGCTCATCTCCTAATAATTTCACATCATTTTTACCACCTTTTGAAGGACATCCAGGCCAGAAACATTCATTTGAATGTTGATTATATGACTGATGTAAGGTTTTAAGAATTTTATCGATTTTTGTATAGATTAGTGTATTTTCTTGGTCCTTATTTACACACTTTCCTTTGATATCTCCATCAGAATCATAAAATGACCCATCAGCATAATTCTGACGTCGACAAATACACAGACCAACAAGTTTTGAAACCTGACTTAACAAATTTGTAATTGAAATTGGCTCAGTCATATTGAAATCCAAATCATCATATGGATGAAATACTTTACTGGCGGAGAATTCTATATTTGAGTTATTATGCTGAAGTACGGGAATTTCACAGGTTTCAGTGAACTTTTTGGTGTTTTCCAGTGAATATTTTGAAGTCCCATTGATTTCAGGTGTGTCAATAACTGGCGAGGTTATAGAACTATTACAGTCAGCGTCGTTGCCACCTCCAGATACATTTCTCACCGTCGCCGTCGTCGGAGTCATCGTCATACCGTCAGAATCTGTTTCTTGATCTTGATTTAGTGATGAGAATGTTTGACTCAAATCGTCACGACATACAGTGCTTAGGTGTCTGGGAGAGAAAGAGGTGAAGCGTTTGTCGTGTTTTCGTTTATGCGAGAGAATTTGACTGGACGAATGGATCACATAGTCACATCCTATTAAGGCCAAAAAAAAACGTTTTAAAAAAGTCATGAAAATATACATCAAAGTTAGCTAATGCAATCAGGTAAATAGTTGAGATTTTCGATATCATATACTGCCTAATTTATGCATCTAAAAGAAGCTAGTTCAGACATTATCATTACCTTGGCCATCCAGGTTTGAATTATCCTGAATTTTTGTGAAATTTTCCTAATTTTAATTGATATTCCATTTGCTACTATATCTTTATTATTATTATTATAATTTGAGTATCTTTAGTGAACTGTTATTGCATTGATCGTACTTTACAATTCGATATTATTCAAAAAACACACTAATGTTGTTATTGACTGCTAATCTAGAATATTCTATGTATATAAGCATATATATGTATATGTATATATATAAATGTAGAGCCAGAAGAGGAATTTATCGAAAAGAATATTCTTTGCTCGATTATTTTGTGTTTTATAGATGTCTGAATGAATATTTTCGCTATATGCTGATTAAACTTTGCACATAGAAATATTTTAATGTACCAGCTAAGGGAATACACAGATAGGCTCTTACAAAGAGGAAACCAAAGAGGATGATATTGCCTTGGGCCTGACATATGATGCTAATTGAATGGCTCACCAGCGCATGTCGGATGATCGTGTCCCTCGTTGGTTGGCTGCCTGTCGTTTATCCACTCTGACCTCAGTATAAAGCAGAGTGGATGAGTTTCAATGAAATTCTGTGACTTTTTGGAAGTGCTTCACCTGGACTTTGTGCCTTACAATGACTAGCTGACAGTGATATCGCCAAAATCTTCATAAAACACTTATGTGTAATGTTTTATTCCCCCTTTATTTTAGTGTTGGATGTGATGACGCAGTTTACAAGACGCCATGATTATTATTATTATATTATTGTTCCCTTGTGTTCTTAGTAAACATAGGGCTTCAACTGCACGTCTCTACTTGCCACTTCTGTCTTCCTTCTGCTGTACTGTTCGCCTGCATCCATGGTAGTCCATACTGTTTGAACTCCTCTTCACATGACCTCCTCCATGTCACCCTTGCACTGACGTCCCACTCGCCGCCTCCCTTGCGGGTTCCACTGGAGCAATGGACTGACGCGCGCGCGATGTCACTCAGCGGCCTCCTCAGTGAGTGTCCAGTCCATCTCCACTTTCTCCTGCATATTTGTTGAATGATTGGTTCTTGTTTTTTTTGTTCCCAGACATAGTTCCTTGTTGGTGATTCTTTCCGGCCCAGTCATCTGATCTTCAGTATAGAGCGAAGACAATTGTTGCTTGATAAAGGTCTGCAACAGGCTGTTGGAAATAGTCTTCGTGATCCGCCCGCCAAGTTTCTCATCCGTATAGAAGAAGTGACTGACTTGTCGTCGTTTGTATTGAAAATCAAGACGCCATAATCCCATCTAATTAATGGCAGTGCCATTTCTCTGAAAATACGCATATTTAACCTATCAGACGCCTGTTGACGGTGCTGAATTTAATTTTGACTAATGGAACAGACGACATCTCCTAACAAGTTTTCTGAGATGAACTGTTTAAATAGAATTCTATTAGTATACAATTGGTGGATGGTGGCTAGCAGTGGAATCCAGGATGCGCATTTCGTCCTAATTGGGACTCGTCAACTGGATGTACCTGCATTTCTCAGTGAGTGATGATGTTCCCACTGAGGCTCGAATCCAGTGCCCATAGTTTCAAACGCCAAAGCGTTATCCACTAGACCACTTGGTCCACGAGAGCCACCTCTTGTGCAACGGGTCATATTCTATTAGACCAATGTATTATATATATATATATATATATTGTGGAGAAAATTCGCGGCTCAGGTGGATGATTCCGAATCGGTTGTGTTCTCCAGGATGGTTGATTTAATTTCAAAGCTTCCGTTGTCATTCAAGACAACATCTTCAGTATATGCTTATTTGAATTCTCCATGAATGATGGTATAAATTACATTCTCCTGACAGAATCTGTTACGTGTGATTGCCTGTTAATTTACATTCTCACTGATCCTTTGATTGGACACTAGTAACTAACTAGTGTGATGTGTCTGGTCATTTCTTTTTGGTGCAGACTGAATTCTATCAGTCAAGTTTGCAGTGTGGCTACTATTCTAGGTAACTTGCCATCATGATGCACAATTATTTGATGACATTAGATAGCTGGAGGCAATCGGCACAAGAGGTCAATCGCGGGCCCGAGCAGCTCAGTGGTAACGCGGGTTCAAATCTCAGAAGGGTCCTCAGTTCCTTATAGGCAGTCACAGACACACCTTGCTGACGAGTGCCAACCATCACGAAATCCAGGTCCAAAACTTCTTGTGACCGATTGCCTCCAACTATCTAATATCATTCTTATCGATCATTTCTTTTGGCTTGGTATTCCAACTCTCCTGTCGTGGGATTTATTTTCAATTTATTCTTAAATTAGGTCTATAATGACATGTTTGTTAATCGCTGGCTGATTCATCTAAGTACCAATCAGGCTTCTAGAAATTCCCTGGCAGTATTTTTGGGGTTTCCTTTATTCGAAATTTCTACATTATCCTGATCAAATTAGTGTCCATACTTATCTATTTGGATTGATATGAAAGAACATACATCATGTCTTTTTACAGCTAATTCGTCTTCTTGGATTCGGATTCGAAGGGTACTCCTACTTTGACCACTGATGGAATGCTGATTGCAGTTCATTCAATTTATCTTGTAATTTTATCTTCATTTCTGTTGGATCTTTCGATCTGCACCTTATTGAATGGATTGATTGTGTTAGCTTGTGTGCCATTTCTATTTAAAAACGATCTTAGTATTCTAGCTGTTATTTCAGAGATATTTTTAATATATGGTAGGATGAATTTTCTTATGGTCTTTAGGAATGGTTCTTTGTTGGTATTTCGAATGAATTTAAACATTCCCTGATGATGTTTTTTTGGGTATTTATTCTTCTTGAAGACAGATAGTAGGTATTCCTGTTTTTTTCTTTTCAGCACTGCATTGCTACAGTGTGTTCTACCGAGCACTCCAATCCAATCAATCGACCGAAAAATCTAAAATCCGATTAAATAACTAATATGACCCGTTATACAAGAGCTGGCTCGTTTGGCTCAAGTGGTCTAGTGGATAACACTTCAGCGTCTGAAACTATAAGCACTGGGTTCGAGCCTCGATGGGAACATCATCACTTACTGCGGAATGCAGGCACATCCAGATGGCGATTCCTAAATAGGACGAAACGCGCATCCTGGAATTTACTGCTATTCGCCACCCACCAAGTAATCCCTCATTACATGTCCAGACATTGTCGAAGCATCTGCGGAAGAAGCCGACATGTCAGACTGAGACTGAGCACTTCAATCCAATCAATCGACGGGAAAATCTAAAATTCAATTAGATAATCTTTCAAACAACGTTTACACACACACACACATACAATTTCGGAAAAACAGGTTTAAACTAAATTCGAAGTACCTAAGTGGAACCATCCCTAAAGACTGAAAGACCCCTATTAAAGCATCTATCCACAGGAAATCACAAGTATAAATAATTAGCTTATGCGTAGGATTGTTTAGGTGTCAAACATTTCACAGAACTACGGGTTCCATTCTATACTGATTGTCGACGCTAGTGATATATGACAGTGGCATTAATAACAACGAAAAAAGTAACACTTCAACTCACCTGGTCGTATACAATGAATATGATTGATAACACCAGAATATTGACAGTCTGGAAAGTCACAATTTTCACACTTTATATATCGACGAAATCCATCCTGAGCATATCGATCATTTTTTTGATGATGTAATTTGTGCTTCTCTAAAAGTGAAGGGTCGATAAAAATAAAGTTAAAAAATAACTGTCAAACTTTTGTGAAAAAAAAACGGAAAACAAAATGTTTCGTCCAAGATTGGAAAGTTTCAACAATGTACATCCAATAGTTGAAAACCACGGATCGAACCTGACAGTGGTGAGCAGGAGAGCTCTACTGTGTGAATTAACGGAAATTGGAACTCAGAGGTCAGTGAATTCTTGCCGAAATCATTAGATGGTTGAAGAGTTGGCCTGGTAATCCGAATGTCCCAGGTCCGATCCCTGGAAGGGGGATTAGGTCATGGGCATACACCGATGAGGAGTCGCAAAGTATGATGAAACATCTATCCAATACTTCTTAGCTCGTGACAAAGTCTACATTACACTAATAAGTTCAGTTTTTAAAATTGTCATTTGTCGTAATCAATTAGGGGAGTACATTTACAATGGATCTAAATAACACCTCCATAATTAAACTTTCTATTATAACAGGTCAAGGAAACAGTACCTAACTAATTTTTATTTAGGTTTCAAATGATTCGACACCACCTATACTGGTATTATTTCCCTAATAGTAACTAGTAGTGGAATGCGAGATACGTGTTTCCTCCATTTTGGTAATTGTCAGCAGAACTTCCTAAGTGGTTGAGTGTGTTCCCGCAGGGAATCACATCCAGTACCCATTCAGAGCATTCTGAACACCTTCAGCCGCAATCTGTGAATGTTTGGCATGCGATTTCCCCTTGCCAAATGTAAGATGATGCTACAGGACTGGACTAAATCAACTCACTCCTAGGTTAATGACAGAGAAGAGTGAAGTGGTTGATAGGACCTGTTGACCACTCCACTTATTTAGGAAGTTGCATCAGCCAACACCAGCGAGTTGGTTGCTGACGAAATCTCAGCATGGGTACAGAAAGCTCGTTTCGAATATGTCATTTTACACCATCCCTGGCGTATAAGTGATATTCGTCTGGCTATCGACAAAAGGGGGGTGTATTGCTCAGCAGTCCGCTCAATCCTCCTTGATTTAAAAATAGCCATTAAAAGTGGAAAATATGCAAAGCCTGGCTAGCTGTCTTTGATCATAGGTGCCTATGTTCTATCTCCCATGTTAACTGGTATAATACGATGAACAGTATTGAGGTTAGACGTCGAATAGTAGGTAAGGAGGAGAAATAAATAGATGAGACTGTGAAGTTACATCGACTAAAATTGTTAGAATATGTGTTACAAATGCCTGGCCATTGATCGCTTTCCTCGATGGGCAGTGTTAACATACTGACATAGTATGGAGCAAGTTGGAAGAGGGCTATTGTTGGTCAAATAAAAAAATAGCTTCATCAGTCAATCAAACCCACAACAGTTAGTTCAAGCCACTCACGTAGGCGGATGTAGACTTCCTGGTTGGGATCCTCGAGAAAATTGGTGATATGGCTCAAAATGGTTCTCAATGGAGCGGATGCACCCACTTTCTGTGACTTATAATATCCAATAAAACTTCCATATTAGTATTCTTTTTGCCTCATATCTCTGTTTACTGTCTCTGTTTTGCATTTCTTGTTACTTTCTTCTCTTGCTTTGTGTACTAAGTGAAGTGTGGTGAGTCGAACTGCTGCGCTTCGGTACAAAGTTCTACGTTGAAGGTAGTCACTCAGTCAGTTATCGTTTCCAACATCCCAAGTGGAAACAAACACGCATTCTGGCTGCCACTACTATAATGTTATTATTATGGTCATGAGTTTCAGGTGGAGCAAACTGCTTCAAAAACACATCCGCATGTCATCCTGTTCACAGAAGTCCTTTTTCAGCTGGTTCCACGATTGCCAATAAAGCGTTTATTCTCCTTAAGTGACTTTCTCCATGTCATACTCGAAGTAATTTCTAACTCGCCGTAACCCATTTGGTTAATACTTTAGGATTTTTATGGCTCTAGGTTTGCCAGACAGTCTCCTCAACATGTGTCCAATCCATCTCCACTTTCTTCTGCATACCTCTTAGGTGTTAATTTCTTAGTTGGTTTGTTGGTAAAGTTCCTTGTTGATAAACCTTTCTGACTGACCATCTGATCTTTAATATGGAGCAAAATGCGAGGTGGTCAACGAAAGCTGTAGGAGCAGATTGTCAGAAATGCTTTTAATGAAGAACACATCAAGTGTCTTAACCATATGAAAACACTGTTCCAATCGACATTAGTGTTGAGAAAATTTCGAATCTTGTTCTTCAAGTTGAGTGAAGCGGATTACAGACGGGTTAAGGTCTGTCTCATCTTTCTGACCCCATCTCTGCCATTCTGTAATTGAAACTTTTCTGTCCTGATCATTGCAAGGAACTGGCTTTCTTCAGATTTCTTCAGCTAATAGTTATAATAAACTGAACAGCACCATGTGAACCATAAAGGTCCTTATCACAGCGTCCCTACTACAACTCAGCATGTCAACAGGGACTAAATATCTCCGTTCAGTGAAATGAATAACTGGGGAATTTTAACAAATGACACCCATAATAGCATGTTCATTTATCAACTATGCTTGTCAGTGAACCTTAGCCAGTAAAGACAGAGTAATTATTGATATAAGTATAAAACTTCGGCACTGTGGTGGTAGAGTATAACTCTACTATGGATAAGATCTTATTTTGATAAATCACACAGTGTTATTATACGGTAATATTAGCTGATGACCACGTTTCGAGCACAAACTACTGCTCATAATCATATCAAGTCATTCACACAACTTTTCTCCTTCACTTATATACATGAGTGGAATTGATGATTAGACATTTGAATAAAAATCCATATAAGATGATGAACATTCAGGAATAATAATATAAGTGTGATTGATCAATTACAATCAGATGAGAAATAAGATGTTTTTATAATCAAAATAAATAACTTGTTAAAAAGCCATAATGTGAATTGAATACATTCTAACATTATTTATTATTCTCCAATTTGACTGTTAATATCATCCATATCTCTGGCATTTGAGCTGAGTCACTTCTGTTGCGTGTAATGGGTGCAGACTGGATGAACTAGGTAGGATTCAGTAATCAACCTCTGTCTTTTTCCACTTATCTATATTACTTTTTAGAAAATGACCCTGTCCCACCCAACTTATCGTGTAGTTGTGTTTTAATGCATGCAGCGCTATAGCTGAGCTTTTTTCTAAATTACTTAGCTTTGTGAAATCATTCATTCTAACCCTTGCTAAATTCTTATATTCTGATAATCTGACTACCCTCGATCTACTAGTTTGACTGGCGTGTGTAGTTGACCTAAATAACAGTTATTGCAAGGTATTTTGTAAATTGTATTAATTTGTCTAATTGGGTCAAGTTGTAGGTTCCTTTAGCCTACAGTGCTTGTCCTGCCTGACTGAGTTTGTAGATTTGAATGCCACCATAATTCCTGCTTTATTGAGATTTCCACATATGGAGGGTCTCAGATGCCCCCCCCTCCTTATATGGAAAAACTGTCGATGCCGTATATTCTTTCCAATTTATCTTATCATTATTAGTTTCATCATTATTTTTATTTAGCTTTTGACCTTTTTCGATATTCCTGATAAATTTTATACGATAGTTATTCAACATCAACGTCTCCTCTGTCTGTTTCATTTCACCATTCAGGTCTTTTTGTGAGTGAGTGAGTGACTTGACATGATTATGACCAGTAATTATTTGTGCTCAAAACATAGTCATCAGTTAATATTACTGTACAGCACCGTGAGACTTTAACAAAATAAAATCTCATCCATAATGGAGAAAACATAGCAACATAGAAAAGTTGTCAAAGTCTATTTGGCTGCCAAATTATACAGTTCCAGGGAGGGGAGGTGAAGTTTCACCACACTTCCATTTGAAAATCTAAAATACTCAGACCTCAATGTGTCTGGTCTACTTCATACCACATGAATGGCAATCAAGAAAATAAGCTAGAATGAATTATGATATATTCTATGAACTGACTTCAATGGTCTGCAGAATGCTGGTGGCTTTAGTGTATTCAGCTTCCTGGGACTAGTTAAACCGGATACATAGCTCATGAACTCAGACCCTCCAGTGTTTAGCTCATTATGTATGATCTGGCTAGCAATTACCATCAGTTTTTAAGTGAGTGATCTTTAACTACTTATACGAACCAGTAGTATATATCGAAAATGTTTTTAAGTACTGGTTTTGTGGGGATTGTGTTTGATTGGTTGGAGGATTTCATCATGAGCTGACGTCATTTGGAGAACCATTGGACTACTAGACGGCTTTTTCGTCAGCCTAGTTTCGGATTCTTCACAAGTACACACCCACACCACAGTGAGGTTCGAAACCAGGACCTTCTGGTTACAAGGCGAGTCAGCTCGTAGACAATTATTCCACTGGGACCCGATCCAATGGCCAGCCCATGAATTCTAACTTCTGCCAATTCATGACATAGCACGAATACTTCTCATTGTCTTGTTCTTCGATGAGTTGTTGCTTCAATTTCAACCTGCTAGTCACAGCTTCCCACAAGAACCCCAGGTTAACTGACTGAACAGTGTTAGTCACTAGTTAGAATCAGATTAATTTTCAAGTATCGGTTTTGCAGGGATTGTGTAAGATTGTTTGGAAGGTTTCATCGTGAGCTGACATCAGTTAGAGAACCATTGGGAAACCTAACTGATATCAGCCCATGATAAAACCCTCCAACCAATCAAAAATGTTTATAATCCCCAAAAACAATATTAAGTCATAAATTGTAAGGCGACCCACAATAATCATCATAGCATGGTCAAAACAATAATAAAAGCTACTTACCCATATCAGCTTTATTTTTAAACGTAAAATGACAATTATTACGTCGACAATGAAAATGTGTTGTATGCTCTTTACTGTATGGACAACTAGAAATACCACAGTTTTCTGTTGCACGAAATCGTTGAAAGCCTTCTTGAATAATAACAGCATCTTTACGATGATAATTTGCATGCATTGAACATCTGATGTACTGATATACACCTGTCAGTGAAGAGACATAATATGAGCACGATAATAATAGCATAAGAGAATAAGAAAGTGGCATAAAAATGGGTTGTTTTAGTGAGATTTCGTGACCAGTGGTGTCGACCAACATATCGGGTGTGAAGAGAAGTACTCGCACAATGACGCTGACTGATGGTCGCGCTTAAAACACGAATTGATAGATGTCGAAATTCATGGAGCTTTAAATCCAGTCATTGTGACTGAGCTTGCCTCGTAACCGGATGGTTCTGGGTTCGAACCCTGGAGAGGTTATTGGTGATGAAGAGTTCCAGACTAGGAAATAAACAGCCGCCTAGCACTCTCTGGTTGTTTCGAAATGTTCTCTAACTGACGTCAGCTCGTGATCAGATAACACGTTTGCAACACACAGTACTGGATCACCATCGAACGATTTGAGACTAATTAAAACTTTGCGTTAGAACATTTCGTCGTTTAAGGGTGTAACTGTACGATTAAATCAAGAAGAAATATAAAAGATTGATACATTCTGTCGGGAGGAATTTCATACAACCTCGTGAGTCAAGCAAGCCATCTTGCTGAGAATAGCCGAGTAGTCTGGACTGGATGTAAACCAAAACCTTGGTCACAGCAGGATTTGAAACAATGACTGCTAGTTGAGAAACTGGTAGTTAAATAATTACGACTTTTGGGTATGCGAGTGAGTTGTAAGACGGCAAAGAATTTTTTGCTTACTATTACCGATTTGCTTATTATTTCCTCGCATGATTTCCCGTTGTTTGTTTGCATTGTCGTCCCCCGATACGGACACTTCAACATTGTGACCGAGAATTAATACGACGCTTATTTTTTGGCTAATGGTGACTAATATTGGCATTTCAAATGCAGATTTTGTCCCTTTATAGGGATGTATCAGCTTCACATACCTGGATCGCACCGTCAATGATTGATGACGCCCCAACTACGCCACTTATGGTTCAGTGGCTTTGTGAATATGGCTTTGGCATTTGAAACAAGTCTTAGTAACCATTAAATACAATAATAGTTCGAGAACTATTGATAACCACAGAGTAAAGCTAATTAAGGGTAGGGGTTTTTGATACCTAAAATCTACAGATAAATGTTTGGGCTAATGAGTAAGTATATGATTGAATGAATGATATGGACCCATAACACTATACACAATTCTCAGATTGTACTGCCGCCTATCATTGAACAAATATATTTATATCCTCGAGACAACGTAGTACAATAACTTTTAGTCTAATCTAATCTTCTCTATGAGTTAGAAAGTTAGTGTGTCACGAAAAGCGCTTCTAAGAGACTACAGGCTTTTATCAACAGGTGCCTCCACTGACTGTACACGAAAGATCAAAGATAACCAGTCAGAGGGAATCAGCAACAAGAAACTCAAGAAAGCGAAGATGGATCTCTCACACACACACATATTGAGGAGACACTGTGAAAAAGGCTACAGTGGCCAAAGGAGAGGACGCCCTCTTCGTCTTTATGTCAATGAACATAAACTAACCATCAAAAGACATATAAGTATAAAACTTGGGCTCTGTAGGTTGAAGGACCTTGTTGACCTAATTAGACAAAATAATATAATTTATAAAATACACTGCAATCACTGTGAGGTAAACTAGAGAGGTGAGACTAGTAGGTTGGGGGTGTTCAGATTATCAGAACATAAGAATTTAGCTAAGGGAAGAATGGTTGACCCTGAAAAGTTAAGTAATTTAGAAAAAAGCTCAGCTATTGCACTTCACGCAATAACAAACAACCACAGAATAGGGTGGGGGACAGGGTTAAAATTCTAAAAAGTAATATAGGTAGGTGGAGAGAGAGATTGATTACTGAATCCTGTCTGGTTCATCGAGTTTACACACCCAACACATGCAACAGAAATGACTCAATGCAAATACCAGAAATATGGAAGATATTATTACCGCGATCAAATCAGAAGAGGATAATAAATAATCATAAAATTCTATTTCGCGTCAAAAGACATGACATCCATTCCCTCACTCATATCACTACATACAGACAACCACGGACATCAATTCGACTGGGACAACCAGCGTTCAAATATTAGACAGAGGAAACACTAAAAATGCTAGAGAATTTTTAGAAGCCAGCCTGGTATTCCAATGAGTTGTCAGTCAATAGATACATCGAGATAGACTAAATTCACCAATCGATAAGAAGGAAAGAAATCTCTCTCACACACACACACACAAAGGGTCAGAGTTCAAGTCAAGGAAACAATCAGCACCAATACCAAGTGCACAAGTGCAGACTAGATGGTGTGAAAACACACAAAACCAACCGAACATGTTCAAGGTGGTTACCAGAAGAGATGACTAACAGTGAACTCGTAGAGAAATCTAAAAGCTCACTTCAACTTCAAATGATGTATGCAGTAAAGATATTGCCTAGTAGGGCAATCATAAAAGCTTCGCAAATCAAACAATCCAACTTCAAGAACACAACTACATCAAAACTGAGGGGGGGGGCTATTGGATAAAAACCACCCTTCAGCAGTCCCTGGAGTTAGCCATCGCCTCATACGGTGACAAGGCGAAGATCATCTAAGCTGAGGAGGACTGGAGAGAAGTCCCAATCGGCACAGGAGGGAGAGAGACAGAGAGAGTGAATGACAGAGGAAAAAACACACACCAGAATACGAGAAATTGACACACTGAATCATTCCCTTTAAATCATTCAGTTAGGCAACAACACCTCTCACTTGTTCATAGTCGCTAACATCAACAACGACAAAAACACCGGCGGCCTCAACAACACTAAGAAAAGCGTATATTAACCATAAATGATGCATGCATAAAGACGGAAAAAACCGATTTTGAAAAAAAAGGCAAAGCAAATAAAACAAACGAAATGATTAGAGTAAAAAGCAAAAACACGTATTTTCACATATTTTTTTTATATTTCATGCTATTTTCACGTGTTTTTCTTTTGTGTGTGTGTGTGTGTGTGTGTGAGTAAGCGTGTCTCTATCTTATTTGTGATTTTCACGTATGGAAACAAAGTACGGAATTTCTCTCGTTATTAATATTATTATTATGAGTATGATTATTTCAGACCACAAAAGAATAGAAAAAAAGTGAAAAATAACAGAAAAACGCAGAAAAAACAAAAAAAAGAAGAAGGAGAGCATATTTTTACATAGATAAATAAATATGAGAAAAATTTGTTTTCATAAGGTATTCTACTAATTTTATGTTGTGAAAAATACGAAAAACAGTCTAGAAAAAAAACAAGAGTTATGTCTACAGGTCTACGTGAAAATGCATGCGCTGACCATATGAAGAGGTCGGTTCATCTCTTACTTTGTAAAATAAAAGAGGTATGCCTGTCTGTTCAATACACTGTAGATAGATACTCGCCTAGAGCGGACTATATTGGAAAATGCGTCTGTTTCGTCAGCCTAGTCTGTGACTCATCGATAGTACGCGCCTAATGCCAGGGTTCGAACCAAGGACCTTCTGGTTATAAGGCAAACTGGTATATCGATTCCGCCAATGGCCAGAGCATGAATTCTAACTTCTACCAGTTCGTGATATTGCACCGCGACCATCAAACAATGTCATCGGGAGAAATCCCATTCCCACTTCCGACTGTATGAACCCCAGTGGTCATGACTTCTCATTAGAACTTACTCAAGGCAACTTTGTTTGCTTGTAGACAGTCACTAGCAAGTATCAGATTAATTTTTGGGAATTCTGTTTGTTTTGAGTTAGACTAGGGTTGATCCCAGAACCAGTGAAATCCAGTGAGTACTGGACAGTTTTGGACTCATCAATAGCATGCATCCGCCTGGGTTTTTTAACTCAGAATCTTTCCGGTTAACTATTCAGCCACCGGGATCTACACGATCCAACAGCTTAGAAGTTCTCACTTTTACCACTTCGTGATATCATCGGTGTGTACATTTAGTTCTGATAAAATTCACGAATTGATATAAGGCGAAATGTGTAGACGATTGATTTAGGTTATTCCAGCTGCAGAATGGTGTACGAGACTACCTTGTAACCAAAAACATCCTAACTTTCCAATCCCCATGGGTACGTAGTGTTGAAGAGTCCGAAAATAGAGTGAGACAAGTCTGCAGTACAAGCTGGTTGTTTCTCGATGGTTCTTTAGCTGATATCATTCTATCACTGATCAAAATTTAAGCAAATCAAACCCCCATAATCCGACTACTGAAGACAGCTGTTGTTCTTCTTCTACGTATTAAAAGGAGTGAACTTATACCCTTCAAAATTTCACCTCTCAAAATGTCTTTTTGATTTGAAAATAAACACTCGTTAACTTGATTAATTTTTTATATTATTTAGGTTGTCATGGTGACTAGAACAAGGGGCACATGTTTCGTTCTGTATGCTACTCATTAAGTTAATGATGTAACTGCTACGTCACCCACTCCCCACCACCGCCATTGTGCATTAGCGGTGCTTTTCTCACTGAGGCTCAAATCTAGCACCTGCTGTTGTAAACAAACTCATCCGATCTTTGCTTCCTCAGACCGATCTTTTTTGAAACGAGTGTTAATTGTTATGGTTTGGTGAAATTATCATCTTTTTATTTACGATTGGTTGATTTAATCGGATCAAAAATATTCGGTCATAGCAAATGATTTGTTCATGAAAACAGATAAGAGATGTACACCACACAAACCAACGACAAAAATAGGTGAAGACTCGTCACAAAGCCGACTGACGTACACATTAACCGATTTACCAAAAACTGGCGACTTCTTAATGTGGTTGTAATGCTGAAAACGTCATCCACCGTGATGATGAAGTATCAGCGGTTAAAGCTGGAGGATATCAAACATTTTCCCGACTAGGACAGTTTCAGATAATCTTACCAGTTGGATTTTTTCAACTGATTTTAATTGTTAGTCGACATTAATAATCTTGAAATATTCGAGGTGAACCTTTATTAAAATAATTTTAAATATCTAGAGAAACCATTTCTTGTGTCACCAAAGT